AACTGTGACTTTTTAAGGTACAGAGCGGGGACAGCTAAAGGGATTCTGCAGAACAGCAAAGGACCTTGCAGTGACACTGGTGAAAGAGCTGGGTAACTTTTGAAACCATCTAGGGCATCTGCTTTGCATAGATGAAATGCAGATGGCCTCTTGACGGGAACTGGGAGCAAGCACGCGGCTCACTCCTTTCCTTGCAAACATAGAAATTGGGAGAGAATTGATTCAGAGCTGTAGGGCTGAAGCCCTTCATCCCTCCCCGCTCCAGTCCCCGTGTCTGTGCTGCCTGACTTGGCCGATTCCCACCTCCTTCCCCCTCTGGCTGTGTTAAGGCATCCCTGGCCGTGTAAGAGCAGGGTGCAGAGCAGCCTCACGGGGCAGGAGCTGACCCCGAGCAAGCGGGCAGGATTGTGCAACCCTCCCATAAGATGTCAGTGCGCAAACCTCACGCGGGGCCTCGCAGCAGGTCCCAAAGACCCGACACAGCAGCCGACCAAGCGCGACTCTGACACGGGGCAGGGGCAAACCAGGGAAGGGTGCAGAAGCTGCCTCCTCCTGGCTCCTGCCCTGGAGACCTGCGATCCAGCTGAGCCTACAGGGAGGAGGTTTGGGCCAGCCTCAGCGTTTGTGCTGCGCAGAGCAGGGCCAGCTTAACTTTGGGGAAGAAAGCTGCACAGACTCTCAGTTGCTTTTTGCTGCTTTGTGCGGTGGCTGAAATTGCTCTTTCTGCGCCTGTTCTCCTGTCTGTGACACCGGGACCACGCTGATCCTCTTGAAAAGCCTGCTGAGATTTGCTGATGGAAAGAGCCATGCCTAAGCACCCGTAAAGCCATCCAGCGTTTTCATTTGGCTGCTGGTATTGTGCAGCCATCGCCACACAATGCAATTTCCCCATACGAAACCACAGTTTCCTTTCAGCGAAAACTCCCAAAATACATCCCAGTGACGTAACTACTACACTCGGGGTTCTCGTGCTGGTCTGGGCGCTGCGGAGTGCTCTAAGTTCGGAAGCCAGCTTGCAAAGTATGGGAGAATAGCAGCCTAAAGGTTTGGAGATGCTGAGGCTCCTCTTTCGCAGCAAGCCAAGGATCCAGGAGGCAAGTGTCTAGCTGATAAAATATCTGCTCTGCATACAGTACTGTGCTCTGTCTCTTCTGCAGGACATGAGAAGCTGGTGAATCGCTGACCTTAGAGAGCCAGACCTCACCCAGTCTTAATTAACGACTTCTCTTTTGGAAAAGGCATTTCTGGTGGTAAAACTGCTTTCTAAGAAGTGTCTTTCCTAGGTGCTGCCAGAATTTGGGAGTGTTTTGGGACCAGAACATGTGTTGAAGCAACAGAAATTAAAACAGCTTCTGGTTAGTTGTTGATGAATAGGAAGCGAAATGCCAAAAGCGTAATCTGTTTCTAGCTCTTGCAGGTTTTTTTTTCCCTTGCATTTAGATGTGACTGTCTCAACCAGCAAAGTGACAAAACGCGAGCAAAAACAAACCTGTCTCTTGGCTTCTGGCTTGTAAAATCCTTCCTCAAAAAAGGGGAAAGTAGGAAGGAGGACTTGTATTTTGAACTTGGCGTTGGGAAAAAAAACCCACCCGTATGTCTGTCCCCAGCCCCTGATCTAGGGTGACTAAGCCGTCTGGGCAGTTCGAAGGCGGCATTGGGAAGTTCAGAAGAAGTTGTCTCCTCCTCTGCCTTGAGCGACCTCCTGGGCTCAGACCTGGCCGGTGGCCAGCGGTGTCCTTTTGTTTTCCGGGAGCAGCAAATATCATTTCCCCGTGGTGCAGGAATCTGTAAAATGGCCTCCCCCGAGGCGGTGGGTGTCAGAAGATGGCTGGTAGCTCGCAGGAGCGGTGTCTCGCGCTGGTAGGGTGGACCTGCAGAGAGATCCGTGCTTGTGGGAGAGGAATCGGTCCGTCCCCATCCGCAGCGGGGTTTGGTGCCTGCTCGCTGGTCGGAGCAGCGAAGGAGCCGTGAGGGAGCTGGTTTCCCTGTGGGTGGGTGTGATCCCCGGGGGGGAGCCGCTGAGGTTTTTGTGATCGCTTTTGGGTGCTCGGGAAGGGGTTTAGTTGTGGCTTTGGTAGATGTGTCAGCCGGCTGCCCCGGGCATCCGCTTCCCGCAGCGGGACAGCCACCTTCTCCCAGACCGAAAGGGATCTTGGCCGCTCCCGCAGCCAGGGCAGCGCGATGGAGGGGAGGAAGGGGAAGAGGCGACTGCGAGGGCCCCCTCCGATCTGATTCAGTCCTTCCGGAGCTGAAAATCAGTTAATTCTTAACTCTAATCTCACTGTTTTCAGGCAGCTCCTCCCTTCCCCAAGGCTCACTTTTCCCTCTCTCGCCGCTCCGTAGCTCCTGTCCTACTTTCAGGTCGCTCTGCCTCGCGCTGCGCCCACCCGGTTGACGCTGCCGGCGCCGAAGAGCCCTGCCAGCGCCGCGGGCTCCGTCGTGCTGACAGACGGCTCGGAAAGACACAAGAGAAGTCACAGCCCGAGTCTTAGATCCCTTCCGTCCGCAGTCACGAGTTTTGTCTCATCTGCAGCCAAAGGCTTGAACCTCTCGGAGGAAATGTTTCAAATCTGACTTGATTTTTTGGGGGGTGATTTTTCTTTTCAAACCTAGCTCATTATCTCAAAACCAGGTGAAAAAGTACCTAGATGTGATAGCAAATCTATGTATGTTCATTAAAATACAGCAGGCTTGGGGACTGACCTTGCAAAAACTTATTGACTTTGCAAAAACTTACTGACCTTGCAAAAACTTACTTCTTCCCTTAAGTTGAGTTTTTTGGGGAGAAGGAACCGCATCCCAGCTGAGAAGCAGCTCTTTTCTGAGCTCCCTTGAAATGCTTCTGCATCTCTCCCCATGAAGGGCCACAGAATTGCATCTGGCCCCGGAGGCAGCATAAACTGACATTTCTAATGCTGCTCAGGGACCTGTGGGAGCAGCTGGGCTGGCCCGGCCCTGCCCTCGGGGATGTGGTGAGTTTGGGTATTTGAATATGTTCCTCCTGGTTGCTCTGGAAAGGCTGAGCGTGCCCCTGGAGAGAAGCCCGCTCTTGGCCACGGGGGTGTCAAACTTCCCTGCAGACCCCGGACAGACGCTCCTGGAGTTTGTCCAGGTGTAGCTGAGAGTAAAAGCTGACCTAGAGGTTAATCAACCTGCCAGAAATGAATTCTTTCTCCTTGGCAGTGGTGCTCCGATTCTTGGGGCACACGTGTGACCGAGTGCCGCCACCGTGTCCTTCTCCACCGCCCCTCAGAGTTTATCGAAGCCTTTGACAGCAGCTGGCTCCGGCTGCTCTGCAGCCACCAGCGCAGCTCAGAACCGCATCCCGAGGAGCGATGGCTGGTGGGACACCGCCAGTGACTGCAAACAGCTCGCCGGGCCGCGCTAAACAAGTTCGTTGGGAAAACTTTAGCGGAGTATCACAGCCCCTCTGTGCTGACACTCATTTATTGTCCCGCAGGCAAAATCAGACATCACTTGGATAGAGAAAGACCTCGTGGACGCGGCAGACAAGGTAAGAGAGCCTGCTGCGGATGTGCACCGCGAGGAGACTCACGCGTTTAATCTGCACTTTGTCCCATGACGGGTCGTCCCACGTGTGCGAGGGCGTAAGCGGTGCTTGCAAGGACCTCTCTGAAAACCAGACCTGTTCTTGCAGCACGCCCCTGCCAGCCCATCTCGGCTAGGTGGGACTGCTAATACAGAAAACAGCTATTACTCACTTGCTCACGTGACATCCTGGACTTGACTTCATCCTCCTCCTCCTCCTTCCTCCCCACACCAAACCCCTTTCCGTGCTGTCATTTGTGTCTCCTGTGGCTTTCTGATCTTGTCAGCTTGCTGGGGCGGGTGCTCCAGTGTTTTAGTTGCATGGACGTACAGCGGGGTTTTTTGATTGCTTTTCGGAGGCTCCTCTCCCCGCGCCAAGTGCCTGATAACACAACACGCAAAATTGTCTTGGTCGGGACGGGGTTTATCAGATCTTGCCGGGCCCACATGCAGAGAGCTGGCTGGCTGCAGCACCTGCACGGCTTCACTGAGCAATGTAAAGCTCCCTTGGAAGCGGTGACGCTCATCTTTCGGCACCGTTTGTCATTGTGGACACGGTTTCTGCTTCACTGGGACCGTGGCAGAGTGAAGGAGGTGCCAGCATGAACCCAGCCCTGGAGACTTGTGCTCAGCAGCGGCACGGTGCCGTTTCACGCTGCTCTCTGGCACCTCCTCCCAGCTCCCTTGCTTTGGACCTCATCGGCTCCTGAGGATCCCTCTGTGGAGCTGGGACCAGCTGCCTTGCTGGTATTAAGTAATTTGTTTCTTTCGTTATTGGTTCTCCAAGAGCACGTTATGGGGGCAGAGGAGGCAAGACAGTCATAAGTAGTCTCTCTGGGTCCAAACCAAGATCCTCTTTTCATACTCTGCGCTCTCTGGAGCAATTCAGAAATCAGGGCTGACACAGGGTTATTTCTAATTGCAAAGGTGCGTGGGTGTCTTTTTACTCGAGGGGTTTCTTACCTGCACTTTCTGGGGTCTTGCTGCAGAAAACATCTGTCTGTCCTGACCCAAGGGAGAGGTCAAAGGGGAACAGGCTTGGAGGGGGAAGGAGGCAAAACAAGCGATCTGAATACCTCTTCTCTGTCCTGCCAATGAAGCCGAGCGGCAGCGGGCTCAGAAGCTGTCTGCATCGGAAATGCCCTTAAAAATACCTCGCATGGAACTTCCCAGGGTGGCTCTTGGGCAACTCCAGCATCCGTGGCAAGGGCTCTTGTGCAGCACAAAGCAGCCAAAGGACTAGATGCAAATCCTAGTGATGCCAGAGGACTTGCCCACGGGATCGATGCACCCTGCATCCCATCATGGGTGACCCATCATCCCTGTGCCAGTGTGAGAGCAGAGAGATGTGCAGCTTTCTGAGGTGGTACCAGACTTCTGCGTGGGGTTTCATGAGCTTTTCTCTTCCTTTTTAAAGAGTAAGTGGCGTCTCAGAATATTCCCCCGTTGTGGAAATACCCCCAGAGCTCACAGCCTGGCATGAGATTCATGCAGCACTGGATGGAGGTCACTTTAACTAGACCGTGTATGCTTTCTGTCAGCGTCTTGTCTGAACCAGGGAACCCAAATGTGAACAAGGAGCTGTGAGATTTTTTTTTTTTTAAAAGCAAAACCAAAAAAAAAAAAGCCCCAACCACAAGCGCTGTTGCTGGGGAGTGGGAGCGTGAACTTGCCTCCGTGTGACCGAGTCGCTCGTCTCCACTGCGCATCTGCCAGCCAGGCTTTAACCACCTGTATCTCCTCCATCCGGCAACCTCAAGCGTGGGGCGTCCATGCAGCGCCGCGGGAGCCTCCCTGGTCCCCGGGAGCCGGCCGTGCTTCCCCGGGAGCTCGCGGGGGCGGCGGTTACTGGGGCTGTGCGATGTTGATCGGGATGGGAGAATGGAGAGGGACCCTAAACTTCCTCGCATCTGCGCCTTCCTCACGCTCTGGCTGCAGAGGAAACATCGAGCCAAGCCCTGCAGCCTGCAGCTGCCTGCCCCCGGCCAGCTCTCCAGCCCGGTCAGTACTGCCGCTAGCTCGCTTGCTTCACTTGGTGTCGCTGGTTGCTCATCCAGGTGGGCTGATGCTTCCTATGGATATTTGGAGCCGTCTGATTTGCTTTGCTTTTCTTTTCTTGCTTTTCTGGGACAGTTTGCTTAATGGTGCTATTGGAAGGAACTTATCTCGGTGCAAGCAAAGGCTGCTTGTGCTGCAGCTCGGTGGCACGCAGGTGCTTTTGTGCTGGAGACTTGTTCTGGTGTGCTGCTAAGCAGGCTGCAGGAGCTGGTCTCCAGGGTCCTAACTGTTGAATTGCCGGTTACTGGATGAGTCCATGGGAGGAAACCTCCCCTCTGCCAGCGAGATGCCAAATGGCATCCCAAAGCTTTTCTCAGGAAGCTACCAACAGTGTCTCCGCTGATGCCACTTTTGGTCTAGTTGGCGTGTACATGTGTTTGCAGATGTGGTCTGGCTGCCAGGCTGCGTATGCAAATCTCTGCCTGCCTTGAGATCCAGCTTGGGCTGCCGTAAACCCCTTGCAGTTAAACACACTGGGTCTTGCTACTGGCCAAGGCGAAGAATTCCCACAGCTGTGAAAATACCTTGCTCCGCAGCTCCTGAAGAGCCGTGGTGGGAGGACGGGTCCAGGTGCCTCGGAGGTGGATACAGGAGCTCGTTTTAAATGTCCCTCCCCGCATAGGTGTGTGATGCTACAGGGTGAAATATGCACGGCTGTACAAGCGCTGATGCTCTGTAGACCTGGTTTCTAGTGGTTTCATGAAGATGAGGGGGAGGGAAAGAGCCTACAGCTTCCACTGGTGCCGTCCCCGGGTCTCTCCCTGCGGTGGGGTCTCTCCCTGGAGAGCCGAAGGCCGTGGAAGGACTAGCGGGAGGAAACCTCTCGGCTGACTCCCGCTCAGGCTCTCGGCTGGCAGGGGGAAGCCGTTCCTAACCGACAGCTCTCTGCCGTGGACTGAGCCTCCAAATGACGCCAGAAGTGTAAGGTGGCCGATTTAAGCTGGGAGATCATACGGAACACGAAAACTTGTTGTTACAGGGGTTGTAAGATCTTTCTTGTCTGTGATCACCGAGACCAGCAAAAGGCAGGGTAACGCGGGGGGAGCTGCTGCCCCCGGCCCTCTCCCCCTGCTCGGGCTGTACGTGCGGCACCGCTGGGAGCGTGGGCTTCTCTGCTGGGTCTTGGTGGCTGAATAATGCAGGATCTTGAGAGAGCAAAGCTACCAGCATGGAAACAAAGCCACTTCCTAATCTAGAGAAAAGCCAAGCGTGAGAGCGGGAAGGGAAGGGTGCTCGGTGCAGGTAGGCAACCACATCCGCGGTCGCTTGGCAAGGCCACCCTCCCCGAGAAGGTGCTGGGAGGGTGGGGGGTGGGCTGGGGTGCAGAGGAGAGGCAGAGCCCGAAACCTGGTTCCTGTTGTTTTTAAAAGCTGCTTCGATTAGGTGGGTTCCAGACCAAGTATCTGAATAGTTTTAGAAAACAAAGCATCACTTTTTTTTCCCCCAGCGCTGCAAGGGGAAAAACTAAATAGTAGTTCCAGCTTTGTGGCAGCCGCTGAAGGGCACATCTGCCCTAGGGTCAGAGAGCAACCGAGTGTAATGCCCTTTGGAACATAATTGCTGGCCTTCAGGTCCAAATAGCAACCAGACCGTGTCTGAGACTGGATAACGAGGGACTGAAGTGCTGAGAAGCCTGGACTTGCTTACAAGACGTACAGCTCCAAGGGATTTCTGGCCTGAGTAAGGCTCATGTCCGTAGAAGTGGGAAGCTGAGCCCAGCCTGCGCTGCGGGCGCTCCCCGAGGTCAGCCCGGAGAGGGGCTGGAACAGAGCTCAGAGGAAACCCGGGTACAGATGTACTGGCTAGGCACGGTCAGGAGAAGCAGAGGGAAAGGCACAGCTGGAAGGCTAGTAGTATAAAAAGTCTCTTTATATTCGGGCTGCAAATAGAAAGCAGCACAAGGTGTTTCTGTTGAGCCGAACTCTGGGCCAGAGGTACGGACCAGCTGCACCAGAGGCATGGATGAGGTTTGCTGGGGCAAGGAGGTGTCTCGGCATCACCTCAGGGTCCGTGGCTGTTCTTGTGTGCTTCGTTGGTGAGTGTATTCTAGATACTGCTGATAAAATCTCTTTTTTTCTTTTTTTTTAAATAAAAGAATGTGTTTTAAACAAAACATGTGCCAGAGACCTTGGCTTCCCCTCAATCTTCTTGAAGGCTTGAGTCTGCTAAAGCATCATCTGTATGTGCTGAAGATGCACTAAGACTTATGTTGCAGAGTTGCTCAGATTGCTGAGCAGATGGGCTCCAACATGTCTGATTTTTGCCAGCCCTGGCCGTGTTTTGACAACAGAGCCGTATTTTTGTGTTGTGGGATTCTTAGTGGCATAAACACTCCTGTTTTTGCCACCAGTGCCTTAAAAAGGAAGGTGCTTTTCAAGCACTCTTCTGAAATGCAGTTCAAAGGCGTGCAACGCCTGCGGTGCGAGGAGCGGAGCCTTTGGGGAGAGCGCTGGATGTTTAGCACGGCTGCCCGGTGCAAGCCTGCTGATCACTTACTTATTCCAGATGTTGAAGCCAGGAGATACCTGTGACAAGCACCAACCTTTATGGTTCTCTCAGATGTGGTTCCTGCGAGTCTGTACCTACAGTCCTTGCTCCTTAATCTGATAAGGCTTGCTTCCCCTCCTTCGGGAGTGTATTCCCAGTCAACCGTGTCCCCTCTTTTTCAGGGCGAAGGTGTTGTGAAAGAAATCAACATCACGCACCACGTGAAAGAAGGCTCCGAGAAAGCCGATCCTTCGCAGTTTGAGCTCCTGAAGGTGCTGGGACAGGGCTCCTTCGGCAAGGTGGGTTCGCTTCGTCCGACGTGTCATGCCAGATAAATGATTTTGATGACAAAAGGGACTATCCCCAACGAAACCGCTTTCCCGATTCCCACCAAATCGCAAGAATCTGACTGATGAGCCCACTTAGCAAATGGTTGCTTCTAACGTGAAAGGAGCTGTAGTGATGCCTTCTCAGTAAGGGCCAGCCTGGGTGTCCAAAGCTCCCCTGTAATTCTTTTTTCAGATGATCAGGAGAAAGGAGTAGCAGCCTGCTTGCAAATGCAGGCGCCGTGCAGGACACAGGGGCCGCCTGCGGCTCTCTAGCTGCCTGCCAGGCTCTCAGTGGACCTGGGGACTCGGAGGACTCGGACGTGTTCCTCTCTTCTCAGAAGTGATGCTGTGTGCGTCTGGTTTTGGCCCCTGTTCACGGTCCAGTTTCCCTCTGCGAAGGGGGAAGGAAGTAGCCTGTAACTCTTATCATCTATTTCAATGTGTAAATAATCCAGGTCTCTTAGAGGCCATCTGCTCGCACGTTAAATCAACTTCACGTCAGTCAGTTCCCAGCGCCGTCAGCAGGGGCTTGTACGGAACTGTGGGCTGCTGCCTGGGCCAATGCAGCCGTGGCTCTATGCAAAAGAAAGGCAGTGTCTTTTTGAAGCTGCCCAAAACCAGGGAGGATGCAGGACCTGAACAATCAGGGGCTGCTCCGGCTGCCGAACCAGCAAGTCACCCGCAGGCTTTGTGGTACGTTGTGCTTCAAGCATCAGCCCCAGCCCCAGGGGAACGATGGGAGCGAGCAAGGGCTGGAAGGCTGGAGAGGAGGAAAGTGCAGTGCAAAAGCACGAGTGCTGTAATGGCTGGAGACGGGGGATGAGCGGAGCCTACACACAGCACTTTCCTGAAAACCCCACGAGGTTTCACATGGAGAGCTCGAGGTACATCCGCAGTCCTGTGGCCAGCTGCTTCTCAGGGCTACTGTGAGCTTTGCCGCTTCGGGAGGCATCCAGCTCCTACTGCTAATGTTTAGTGCCTGGCGAATGTGGTGTTCTTCCCCCTCAGGTCTTCTTGGTGAGAAAAATAACGCCGCCAGATAGCAACCACCTCTATGCCATGAAAGTGCTCAAGAAGGCGACCTTGAAAGGTAGGAGGCTCTTGCTGTGATGCTTTTATCCTCCATGTCTTAAAGAGCTCTGGGGAAGTGTCCCAGCCGTCACTGCTGGCCCCAGGGTGACGGGGTGAAAAAGAACCATCTCCCTCTCAACCAAACAGCCTCCTTTTCTCTCCGTCTATAAAAGACCCCTGTTGCAGTGACGGAGGTGGGAACAGATCTGGCTGAGCTGCCTGGTACCGAAGGGCTTAAGGCTGGGACAAGGCTGACACCAGGGCACCGTCTGCCTTTTTCTGTGTCTGAGCTGTTCCCCTCTCTTCCCACAGTGCGTGATCGAGTGAGGACAAAGATAGAGAGGGACATCTTGGCCGATGTAAACCACCCCTTTGTGGTGAAACTCCACTACGGTGAGTGTGGAGCTAGTTGGGACACTGGGAGAGGGGCTGCAGGCTCGAACAGACACTGACTGCTTTTAAGCACCATAAAGAAGGATGCTACGACAGGCGCTCCCGCCACGAGCAGGTAGATGAGCACGAGGCATCCAGCAGCAGGCTGCCTGGAGGATGCTGAGAGCCTCCCGTGGTCCCTAACGGGCTTCTGGAGGTACCTGAAATGGAGAAGAGGCCTGGATCAGTCTGTATCCCTCAATGGCTGTGCTGCTCTGGAGCCTTCGCAATCCCCCCAACACAAATCCTGTCCTGGAAAGGTCTTTGGTCCCGTGCCCGCTCTAGCTATTGAATGGGGAAGAGAGCGTAGACCGGGAGAAGAGGTTTAAACATCAAATCCTTGGGATTAAAACATTAAATCAGGAGAAACTGAGAAGGCAGAGTTAACTCGTCAAGCCAGAATTTGGCAGGATTAACGCTGACTCTGAGGACAGCGAGGACAGCTTCCTTCCCCGTGAAGTGACCAGTGCCTCTCTCGGGGAAACATCACTGGCTGAAAGGGAGCCAGCCCCCCATAAAATGAGCGTTTTCTGCAGTGCCAGAGTGCTGCTGGTGAGCTCCCATTTCACCACCACGGACGGGCTATCTCATTTACCCCAAATAATTAGCCCTCCCTGTGTTTAAGCTAGTAACCATGCAGGGCATCTGCACGAGCGGAGCCATCGGGATTTAAGTGATTAATGTAACACCACGGAGCCTTCCCTCAGTGGAGCGGACTGATTCCTGCTCCGGCTTGTGTTTCAGCATTCCAGACGGAGGGGAAGCTGTATCTCATCTTGGATTTCCTCCGAGGAGGTGACCTTTTCACTCGGCTTTCCAAAGAGGTGGGTATGCGCTGGCATCTCGGTGGGTTGCTGAGGCTCTCAGTCCATCTGGGCTTAATTGCCGGGAGAAGCGATTGACCCTTGCAAAGTCTGTGAGAGGGGTGAAACCAGCTTCCAACCTGCTGCTAGCCCAGAGCTGGCAACGGGAGAGGGTGTCTCAGGAGCCCTGTCCTCTGGCAGAAAAGCAGCAGCACAGGAGGCAGGTCTCGGCTCTGCAGCGGCTTCTGCTGAGCATCGCGCTAAGAACAAAAGCAGGCGAGAACCATGTTCTGCTGCAGCGCTGGCTGGCTGTGTCGCTGCGCTGGGACAGGGCGAGGGCAGGGAATGGGAGGGGTAACGAGGAGTTGTGCCAGGTGAAGACAACTGGGAACATAACCTGGGTAACGTAAGTGAAGAGTTTTTTAAAAACCTGCCTGCTGCTTAGCAACCTTGTTTGTTTTTTCTGGCGTTGCTGCTTAATTGATACTTCAGGATGGCAGGCGAAGCCTGGGAAAATTCAGTACAAAAGGGCAGAAGGGAGCAACATGGATGCAAAAGCTCTTGCGTGGGTGCAGCAGAGGTGGTCCCGCTGCCGCGTTGTAACCCCGGCGCCTGTCCGATCCTCTCCCTTCCCGCAGGTCATGTTCACCGAGGAGGACGTGAAGTTCTACCTGGCAGAGCTGGCTCTGGGGCTCGACCATTTGCACAGCCTGGGAATCATATACAGGGATCTCAAACCAGAGAAGTACGTGCGGCACAGCCGAGGCAGGGAACCGAATCCTTTGGTCCCAGCCTGCGGTCGGCAAACGGCGCAGCCTCCATCCGCAGAGGCAGAGCTGGGTGATGCCCATCGGCCGGGCAGATGGAAGGCGGCGGTGCCGATCGAGCAGGCTCTTGCTCCTCGGCTCCGCAGCTGGGGCCAGGAGCGCTGCGGAGGCAGCATGTGTGCGCCGCGTGTCTGAGCAGTAATCCTTGGCAGGCTCCGGGCTCCAGCTTTAAGCAATTGAGAGCCTTCGGAGGAAAAAGGCACCAGGCTGGGCCTCCACAGAGGCGCATACCAGCTGTGCGACTTGGTTATTCTTACTGGGGTGTGGGGGGACCAGAGGTGGTGTAACCTGTGCGGGTCGTTCGCTCGATGTGAAGTTGAGGGCGTAGAGCGAAGGGAGCCGCTCTTTGTCCCGCTCGTGTCTTGGTGATGGAGCTTAAAGCGCTGGGGGAAGGGACAGATAACTTTCTGCTCTGGATTCGGGGAGCACCTCAGACCAGCCTCTGCCGTGGGTGCTTGTTCTCACCGGCCCTTGTTGCAGACAGTAACAACTTGGTTTTTTCGTTCATGCTGTAGCATCCTCTTGGATGAAGAAGGGCACATCAAACTCACAGGTGAGGGACTCCACAAAAGCCTTGTGCTCCAGCAAAGTTGGTTCTTGAAATACGGAGCTCCTCTTAGGCCTCTCGGCTCCGTGCGATTGCTCAGAGCACGTGGGCGCATGCTGACAGTTTTTCTCTTACGTAGATTTTGGCTTGAGTAAGGAGGCTATAGACCACGAGAAGAAAGCCTATTCCTTCTGTGGGACGGTGGAGTATATGGCGCCAGAAGTTGTGAATCGGCAGGGCCACTCCCACAGTGCTGACTGGTGGTCGTACGGGGTGTTAATGGTACGTACCCCGCCGGTGTGTTTGGGACCGGGCTTAGCGGCTGGGCCCGCCGCGGCGCCGGAACACCCCCCCCGGGTGCTGCCCGGCCCGCCC